TAAATTTCTCAAAAATCTCTAGATGATAAATTTTCTTTAAATTTGTCCCAAATGATAGAATAATTTAAATAAAATTTCAATAAAAATAATTGTCATATTGTTTTCTTTCCAAAAAAAAAATTCTAAATAGGCCCAAATGGTAGAAAATTTAAAAATTCTGAAATAAAAAATAAAAAAATTTTAAATAGGCACAAATGGTGAAGAATTTAAAAATTTTAAAAAATATATTTTTAATTTGGCTCAAATTGTGAAATAATTAGATATATTTTTGACAAAAAAAAAAGAAAACTAATAAATAAACCTTTTACCGATGACGAAGCATCTTCAAGAAAATAAACATGATTATTGAATACTCTTGAGTTGAGAAAATATTTTTAAGAATTCTACTAAATTAATGGAAGAATCTTATGAATTATTTCTAATATTTAATGTAAAAACTTAAAACCATTAGAATCAAGACTTTATGATAAATTTAAAATAATATGGTACTATCCTTCGGATGGGCATGTGGAGGTGTTATAACCTTTCTCATATGTAACTGAACTCCTGAACTCTGTTCCAGTTAGTAGACCCAAATATATCCTTTTAGAGACCTTTAGTTAAACTTAGGAGCTCTTTAAAAGGATAGATTCCTCATGTGACCAATCACACCTAGATAAAAAAGATTTGTGGTGACTCCATTCATTTGTTTAAGTCTAGCTATAGATTTATGGAGACACCCCAATTTGTCTAGGGGTCTACTAGATTAGGATTCTGTTAATTTTATAAAAAAAATAAATAAGTAAAAAATAAAACAAAAAAATGAAAAAAGTGGTTAAATTGGTGTAAAACTGGGTTGAGGAGTTTGAAATGGTTTGGGAAAGGTTGAATGAGACTAAAAGTCCAGAGGGGATTGGGATTTCTATTCAGTATTGGATTCTGTTCTATAAATACCCACTGATCAGAGGCCAACAAGGGACACTAAATAGAGAAAACAGAAGCAAAAAAGAGTGTTTGGAAGAGCAGCAACAATTTTAGGATTTTTTTTTTTTTAGGAATTTTTCAAAATTTTTGGCAAATTTTTTTTTGAAAATTTTTTGAAAAATTCTAGATTTCGATGAAATTTTTTACCAAACTTGAATTTTTCGACAGTAATTTCCAAAATTTGGCATTGTTTCCCAATTTTCGGTTAGATATTCAACCAGAATTCTAGGTTTGTAGAGAAAAGGGGAGAGAAAAGAAAGGGAAAGAGAGAGAAGGAAGAAAAGGAATTTAAAGAAAATATCGAATTTCAACCTTTTATACCATCGCAAAACGATGTCATTTTGATATTAATAAATCCTCAGGATTCGCGCATTTCTATCTGACCCGATCGCAACCCGCTTGACTGACCCGCGTTCTAACCAACCTTTCACCCAAACCACGTCCCCCGAGCCGCGCTTACGAGCCATTGCTTCTGTCTCGAGTCGAGTCGAATTTCAGCTGCAAGTCGAGCCGTTCTTTGGTTTTTTTTATATTTTATTTATTTATTTTATGTGTTTTGTTTATTTATTTTTTTAGTATTTTTGCATGATTTAATTTAATAAAAAAATAAATTTTAAGAATAAATATTAATTATCCAATGATGAAATTTATAGAAATTTCAAATGGTAAATTTCTATAAACTTCATAAGTGAGAAATTTTATCTAAATTTATCATAAATGGTGGAATAATTTAGATAAAGTTTCAATAACAATAATTAATATTTATTTTCAAATAAAAAAAATTTAATAATAATAATAAAATAGAAAAAATAAAAATTTGAGTTGAAAATATTTGATAATTATCTAAGGATGAGATTCTTAGAAATTTTGAATAGTAAATTTCTCAGAAATTTCTAGGTAAGAAATTTTCTTTAAATTTATCCCAAATGGTAGAATAATTTAAATGAAATTTTAATTAAAATAATTATCATATTATTTTCTTTCAAAAAAAATAAAAAAATTTTCTAAATAGGCCCAAATGGTAGAGAATTTAAAAATTCAAAATTAAAAAATATTTATAATTTGGCTCAAATAGTAAAATAATTAGATATATTTTTGACAAAACAAAAAAGAATAATAAATAAACCTTTTACTGATGACAGAGTTTCTTCAAGAAAATAAATGAAATTCTTGAATATTCTTGAGGTGATAAAATATTTTTAAGAATTTTATGATATTGATGGAAGAATCTTATGAATTATTTTTAATATTTAACATAAAAACTTAAAACCATTAAAATCAAAACTTTATGATAAATTTAAAATAATATGATATCATCTTTCGAATGGGTATGTGGAGGTACTATAACCTTCCTCATATGTAACCAAACTCTCGAATCCTATTCTGATTAATAGACCTAAACCTATTCTTTTAGGAACCTTTAATCAAGCTTAGGAGCTATTTAAGAGGCTAGATTCTTTATGTGATCAATCACATCTAAATAAAAAAGATTTGTGACGACTCCATCCATTTATTAAGTCTAGTTATAAATTTATGAATTTATATGCTATGACATTGATGAATAATTAATTCGCAATGAATAAAAAAGTAAAACAATACTATGAATGTCCTGATAATATAATTAATTATAATTAAGAATTATGTAAGATTTAATTAGAAACTCACATGTATAAACATAATGAATTGTTACAAATTTTTTTTATTATGATTAGATAATTACATGTTTATAATAATAAAATTATAGATGAAATACACTAAAATTTTTTGTTTAAGGAATGAGAGTTCTTCTAATAGTCTAGTGATTTTTTTCATAGTTAAATTAGGGTGAGAAATTATTTAAAAATATTGTGTTAAATTAAAGTTCTAATTAACTTTAACAGGTATTTATTTATATATATATATATCTTTAAATGATTCTTATATTTTTATTTTTATTTTACAAGATGAATTTTAAAAAATAAAAATTTTATAAACAAAAAAAATTTTAATAAGAGTCTTACAATTTTGTTTTCTTAGAGAAGTTAGTGCCCAAAAAAAATTTTAACTGTAGTACATAGCACAAACCCCACCTTAGTAAAATAAATAAAGGGGCAATAATATGCCCCAAATGAAAACAAAGGGGGAAATTTCCTTTTTCTAAGGTATAAATTTTTTTTTTATTTTTATAATAATAAAATAAGTACAAGAGAGTAAATTTATTCGTATGAATTAAATTTCATTAATTATTCAAAAATCTTATTTAAAGTTCAATCAGTTTAATTAAAAGATTTAAATTTAGTTTTAAAATATAAAATTTTATTTTTTAAATACAGTTTTAATTAAAATTAAATAGAAACAAAATTTTGTATCGAACTCGAAATCTAAAACTCATATTAAGAGCTGTCGGCAGTCGGCCCAAATTGAATTAAGCCGCGAACAGGGCTATCATAGTTATATAAGAGAGCAAGTTGAATTGAATAAATATAATTTTTTTTTTTTTTTTGAAAAATGAGCAGCAACAAAAAAGTCAAGCTGAGCCGCGGCTTGCACTTGGGAAACGAAACCTCGCGTTTTTGTGTTTTTTGGCCAAGGGAAAACCTCGCGTTGACAAACGGAGATATCTGATGTCAATAATGAGCTCCCAGGTGTCAGTCAACCTTGCGTTTATCAATCCTCTGCGCTTTATCCAACGGTGATTGTGGTACGATTTTCCATGACCTATTTAAGGAGTCTATTCCGGCTCTTTGACGTTTCAGAATTTACAACCTCTTTCTTGTTTTCACTTCATGGCTAAACTCTTCCCCAAATCTCTTCCTTGGCGCGTGGTTTTAAAGCATTAATCCCAATTTAATAGAAACAAATTTTCTTTCATAAACCAAAAATCAATTTAAAAAAAGATGATTCATTTTTTCATATTCTTACTCATTCACTTTGCATTAATTATGCTTGCAAATGGAATTTAATTTCCAAATCTCACAAATTATTTATACTTTTTGAAATTTTCTTTTGTTATCAATTATGAGATTTCAAATTTTATCATAAAAATATGAATGTAACAATAAGACATGTTTTGATGATTTTATAAATAAAATTAAGAAGTTTTATTGGATATATTATTTATATTTTCACAAATCTTATTTAATTGTTATATTTTGTTATCACATCATTAGTATTTTGATTGCGACATTATCATCATTCATACGTGATATCAAATCAAACATTCATTTGTATAATAAATCATATAATTATTCATAAAATATAAATATATATAATTAGATATGTAATTATTCTCTTTACTTTCTACATTTATACGTTCTATTTTCCCTTTCCTTGTTTACTTCCCTTATTTTTCTATTAAGGTTTCAATATGAACGGATGATGAGATAAATTATGATAAAATTAAAATTTATTATAATTAAGATTAAAAAAATTATTATAATTATAATTTTAAAAAATTTAATAAAAAATTATATTGAATTAATCTAACAAAAATTAATATTTAAATTTAATTAATGATATTTCATCGCATTGCCATAAAATTCAAATGGGCATTAACTCATAAATCTTAACTTCAACTTTTTTTAACATTCTTTTCTTAATAAATTTGACAAATTCACTAATTTAATCTTTAACGAATTTTTTTATTATCAAAATCAAAATTACATCAATAAAAATCATTTTTTAAAAATACCAAAGATTTTTTTTCAGTGAAAGCTAAGTATTTAATAAAAAATTAATTCTATTTAAAACATCTTTAAGCGTCGTTGACAAAGTTTTTTATGAAAGAGAAAATGTTAAAAGAGGTAATCTTTTGCTTCTTTAGGAAATATTTGACTCACAAATACTCATTCATTGAATTTCTTTCTGCACGCCTTCCCCTTTTTAAAAAGGATTTTTACAAAATTACAAAATTTAAAATTTGTCAACTTGTCCAAGAGCGTGTATCCACGCTCACAAAATGAAAACTCATTTAAAATCGGGCAATTGACTAAAGCACTACTAATCTAAGCTTTCAAAACCCCCCAAACTTCATTGAGTTCAGTTTAGCCTTCTTGGTAAGGTTCTTTTGGATCAACAGTGAAATTAATTTTGATGATATTAAAAGAAGTAACAAAAATTATTATAACATAAAACTCAAACCCTCGCTTAGTCAACGCCCCCATTGTTACCTCAGCCGAAAACAAAAAATTAATAAAAATGGAACCTAAAAAAGTGTGTTTTCTCTTAACTTTGAAAAGCTACCCCCTTGCCCTTCACAAAAGTCAACTCCCTTCCCCCAACCCTCTTCTTCTTCCCGTTTTCTTTCTCTTTCACCTGAAAATTTAAGAGCAAAAAAGAGAAAAAAAAAAAAGAAAAGCTCTTTTATTTATTTATTTGTTTATTTTTAGTTATGGGTAACGGTTTCTGTAAGTTAAGCGTGTGCTTCACCAGCGGCGGTGGATATGGCGGAGAAGAAGCTCGTCGTAGAAAGGAAACATCCATGTTACTATCGGATCCTCTCGACGAAGGACTTGGTCACTCCTTCTGCTACGTTAGACCGGACCCGACGCGACTCTCTTCATCCAAGGTTCATTCCGAAGAATCTACCACGACTTTCCGTACGATATCGGGAGCCTCCGTTAGCGCCAACACGTATACGCCGCTTTCGACGGCGCTGGTGGACCCGGACATCAGCTACAACAACAGCTGCTTCGATCGAGCAGCGGCTTTCGAGAGCACGACGTCGTTTTCCTCGATACCGCTGCAACCGATTCCGAAGAATTTAATCAACTCTTCGGGTCCGATGTCCAGTAGTCTTGTTCCAGGTTCGGGTCCTTTAGAAAGAGGGTTCATGTCGGGTCCAATTGAGAGAGGGTTCATGTCGGGTCCGCTTGATAATATTAATAGTAATAACTATAATCGCGGGTTATTTTCGGGTCCACTGGAAAAAGGCTTTTCCGATCAGTTTCAAAGAAGCTTTTCTCATGGAGCTTTTGCTTTTAAATCCAGATCGAGGAAAGGATCTTTAATTCGGGTCCTCCAAAGAGCCATCTCAAAAACCGTTTCTCGCGGGCAAAATTATGTCGTGGCTCCAATTAAAGGTGTCGTTTCGATTAAAGAAACCGAATGGGTAATCGGGTCCGATGAGAACCCGATTCATCATCAAAATGAGAATTTGATAGTCAGTAGTTTGAATCTAAGCAGTGAAAGTAGTTTAGAGGATGACGAGTCAATGGAATGTCAAAATCTTCAATGGGCACAGGGGAAAGCAGGTGAGGATCGAGTACACGTCGTCGTTTCAGAGGAACATGGATGGGTTTTTGTTGGGATTTATGATGGATTCAACGGCCCTGATGCTCCTGATTATTTGTTATCAAATCTTTACTCCAATGTTCATAAAGAACTCAAGGGTTTGTTGTGGGATGATGGCTTTGAACAAGCCCCTGCAGCTTCCTCCGAAGAAGAAAAACAGAGCAGGGAACCCGAATCCGCAATAGGTTGCTCCGATGGTGCTTGTTCCCGTTCTATAGATCAAGAGAATTACCCCTATGATAAAGAAGATGTTGATTTCGATTCAAATTTGAGTTCAAAAAAGAAAAAAGGCAGGAACTTGAAGGGCAAGTATAAAGGCGTAGCGAAGAGGTGGGAAGAGAGTCAAAGGAGGTTGAAATGTGAATGGGATAGAGAAAGATTAGAACTTGATAGGAAATTAAAGGAACAGTTGAGTAGAAACAAGTCTGATGGATCAAGATCGATGATAAATCATGGTGATGTTTTGGAAGCTCTATCTCAGGCTTTGAGAAAAACAGAGGAGTCTTATTTGGATATCGCTGATAAGATGCTGATGGAAAATCCAGAGTTGGCTTTGATGGGTTCTTGTGTGCTTGTTATGTTGATGAAAGGTGAGGATGTTTATGTGATGAATGTTGGGGATAGTAGGGCAGTTCTGGCTCAAAAGACAGAGCCGGATTATTGGTTGGGGAAGGCTAGACAGGATTTGGAGAGGATTAATGAAGAAACATTGCATGATCTTGAAGGTTTTGATGGAGATAGATCTAGTGCAATGCCTGATTTAACTGCTTTTCAGCTTAGTGTGGATCATAGCACCAGTGTTGAAGAGGTAAAATCTCATACACCAAGCATTTAGTAGTACAAAATGAAATGATTTTGTTGGATTGAGATTGATGTTTTATTTCATTTCAGGAAGTTCAAAAAATAATAAATGAACATCCCGATGATGCTTATGCGGTGATGAATGACCGGGTTAAAGGTTCTTTGAAGGTCACTCGAGCTTTTGGGGCTGGTTTTCTCAAACAGGTGACTGTTTTTCTAACTTTCTAAACTACTTTAACGATGAATATTGCTTAATTAGATTGGTGTTTGCGAAGTGAATTTTTTGGGAAAACTTTGAGAAAAAACTCTATCGACTGTGTTTGCAGCAAAAAGGTTTGCTTTTTTTATATTGAATGTCGTCCAGAATTGGCCAAGTTAAAGTTGATTCTTGGAGCATCATTCTGAGAACATCAATCAGAAGGCAAATATTAGTTATAGTTATAGTATGCAAATCCATTGGCAGAAAGTTTGCTTAATTCCTAGATTTCATACGATACAAGTATGATTTATTAGGAATCAATCTCTGGCAAAAAAGAACAACAACATTTGGAAATAATTGGCAATAGCTGCTAAAATGAGACACATCAGACTTGCTGTTCTATCTTTCTTGCACTCTCCCCCAATAAACACCATATAGAAAATAAAAACAGCAGATGAGATACTAGGAACTATTGTTACAAATAGGTAAAGGTAAAGCTGCTAGTCCAAAGAATGTGGCCTTTCATTAGTGAAGACCGAATGACATTCTGCAATAAGATAAATAATAACATACATAGAAATAGATCATTTGCTTTCCTTTTCTGTGAAATATCGAAGAGGTTTGGGAAAGCACTGCCTTCTGCAATGTGGTGGGCCACAGGAACTTAGAGCAAATATTTGCTATGTATTTGCATTTGCCTTTGGAAATTTTGATTGATTTGATTTGAATGATTTTGAGTAAATTCTGCATCTGGCCCTTATTTCTTTTTGAACTTCTGCAGCCTAAATGGAACAATGCCCTACTAGAGATGTTCAGAATAGATTACAAAGGAGCTTCTCCATATATCACTTGTGTACCAGCTCTCCACCACCACAAATTAGGTCCCAAAGACAGATTTTTGATATTATCTTCTGATGGGCTCTATCAGTACTTAACAAACGAGGAGGCAGTATCCGAGGTTGAACTTTTCATCACATTGCAACCTGAAGGGGATCCTGCTCAGCATCTTGTTGAGGAAGTGCTGTTTCGTGCTGCGAAAAAAGCTGGTATAATTCAAATATCAGTCTTAACAAATATCCCTTTTTCTTCTCTTTTTTCCGCATTTTCATCTTAGTTCCTCATTATACATTTTTGGTTTTGGTGATTGCAGGCATGGACTTTCATGAGTTACTAGAAATACCGCAAGGGGATAGACGGCGGTACCATGATGATGTTTCCATCATAGTTATTTCTTTAGAGGGAAGGATATGGAGATCTTGTGTATAAGTAGAGAAAACCGCATATAGAAAGAAGATATAGAGAAATCTGCCAAAAAAAAAGTCAGGCATTTCCTTTGTCCCTTTTTTTTCTGGTCACCTTTGTAACATAGCAATTAAGCTCTTCAGAGGTTTAACGAGCTTAATTTTGAAATGTACTCGGTGGTAAGGCGTGTAAAGAAATTGTAATTTTCTAGTAATAAATGACATTCCTTTTGAAAAAAGGGTTTTATTCGTATTATTAGCACTATCACTTTCTGTAGTTCATTCTTTGGTGTTGTTGGCAACATCAGTTGAGCATCTGTACCTTTTGTTTCATTCTTTTGGTAAACAATTCAATACTCAGATGGTGTAAAAGTGTGCTGGACCAAAAATTCCTGTCTTGAACTTGTTTTGTAGCTTTTTCCCCTTTTCATACACACACACACACACACACACACACACACACATCATAGCCATCAATCTTCAAAAAGAGCTGAATGCTTTAGCAGCAAAAGTTGTTAAAACCTTTACCATGCCTTTAACCACTGATGATATATATATATATATATATATATATATATATATTCAAATAACACCTAAACCAGTGTCATTACTCACTAGATACCGGATAGCAATTTTCCCAATTGTAAATTCAGTTGAAGTAACATGTTAAGGTAAAACTGATCATTTCAAATTAATGCCTGCATGTCATTATTTTTCAAAGTCAACAGCAGAACTAGAAGGAAATTAATTAAACATGTATTACTTCAAGCAGCAGACATGTAAAGTGGCTTCCCTTTTTGCTCACTTATTGATGAAGCAGTTTCTTATTTAGGTGAAAGTCATCAATGAACCAACAAACTGAACGCACCCCATTGAATGAAGTAAAATTTAAAGGGGGACTCTATCTCTTGCCAACTGCAAGAAGAAAAAAAATGGAGAAAGAATGAAAACTTCCCCATTAAATAACACTTATGATTTATGCCAATGGCTCACTCCACGTAGTAAAGTAAGAGCCCAGGGAGGAGGTGTACAGGACCCTACTTCTCTAAAAATTTACCCATAAATTTTATATGTGCTAACTACTTCGAAATTGAGAGTAAATGCATTGTCGTTGGAGATTTTAATTAAATTTAACTATTCGTTTATTTGTGTCAAATTATATATTTATATGATATTTTATACAAAAATAATATATTATAATTTGTATCGATATAAAAATATAAAATATATTTTTTAATTTTATTAAATTCATAATAATTATTACTAAAATTTTAAATTATATTATTTTATATTTTATTTTTATATCATATTTATTTTGTATCATTGTGTTATATTTTATACTTCGACAGGTCTAATTTTTTGGTGCATGCCTCATCAGCCATAAAAACCCTGTCTTTTTTCATTAAATTTCTAACCAAAGATTTCGGTCACTGTGCGCTTATAAATTTTAGCCTCTCCCAAACGTTTCCTTGACTGCTAGGCAATGAATCTTAGGCTGTCTGATGTCAACACTGTGATCTGTGAACCTCAGTAATCCAAAACAGAAATGCTGACAGCTCGAGGCTTGGGTTTGTTCGATATTTGGGCTCATTTGTGGGCCACAAATTAGTTTTATTTGATCATATTCACGTTGGACTGGCTCATTGGACCTTGGGTTGTGCTTAAAACAATAAGTTTTGTTCTTTAGGCCTAGTTTATAAGGACAAACGTTTAGGGTTATTTCCAGTACCAAAGAAATGCAGAAATTTGTTAAGAAATACATACATATATATATATATATATATATTACTCTAATATCCATCACAAGATTTGCCAAATACCACAGTCAATGGTTCCTCACATTTTTTTTTTTTTTATGAAAAATGGAAACTAGGGTAGTAGTGCTGACCGGTGACTGCCACCAGTGCAGGCATACCTGATGGAAGATTATTGATCAAATAAAAGTGGAAAAGTAGCATAGTGTTAGGAGATGACAACGGTTAAATTTAATAATTTAAAATATGATAAGATGATATGATAAAAAAATTTATAAATTTTAATATTTTATGTGATATAATATGAAATTTATCAATGTTGAAATGTAGACATTTTCAACTTTTACTATTACTTTTAAAATGAATCCCCAAAAAAAAAAAAAAAAATTCCTAACGTGACATGTCGTGGTTTGGAAGGGTGATTGGAATATTTGCTTGCGTCTCCCATGTCGGTTTTCAGTTGACATTTTCTTTTAATGTACCATTAAATTGTAAATGATAATGAAAGCTGATACAGTAGCATTGGACAATGACTTGAAAGTTGAAACATATTATTTGATGTTGTGTTTGGTAAGAAAATCGTACAAAACAAGTTAGAAATTAGGGATATCTCATTTATTGCACGTATATGAGAAAATTTGCCTGAAAATTTATGTGTTTGTTAATGGATTCTACCTTAACATGTAGCTTGAATGTGTCAAATATTGAAAAATTTGTCTGCAAAGGTATTTGGAACTCTTCTAATGATATCAGATTCTCTTAACAATATGGAAAAGTTTGATAATCCTTGAAGGAAAATACCACAACCACTTCAGGACTAGTATATATAACTGTATTCAAAGAATTAAAAAGAAAAAATTATTGACAAATTTACTATTTCCAAAGTTATTTTTTTATTTTTTAGTTCAATTAGATTTGATAATTAATATATTTATATCATATTTATTTCATATAAAATATAAAAATTATCTTATCATAATTTATTTTAATGTGATAAATATGAAACATTTTTTTTATTTTTATCAAATTTATATTCAAATTTTTTAAAAATTTTATATTATATTATTTTCGTTTTTTTTTATATCATATGGTAATATTTTTTAAAAAATTTTCTAACGTAACTCGCCAGTACTAAGCCACTAGACTACTGCGACCATGGAAGCAGTAAAACTTACTTGTTTCTTTTTTCAAATTCAAAACCAAAGCACCCGCTTTGACTTTACCTCCATTATTTTTTTTCTAGTCTATAAAACTCAAAATTCTATGGTGAACTTTGCAAAGCATTTTTTGGTTTCTTGGGCAACTAAGACTTTTCAAAATCTACCTATTTCCATCGCTGAAGTCAGCTTTGAAATCTTCTCCAACCATTCATTGTAAACTAAAATTTCCTTTCTCCTACTTTTTTTTTTTTTTATTGTTATCATTAGAAATAGGTGTAGTTTCTGCTGTTTCATTGAATTTCTTTATCTTGATGATTGAATAAATTTTACCCATATCCAAAATCTTGATCTAGATTATATTTCTTGATTCAACTTTCCTCATCCTTAGACCATGTCTACATTAAGCAAGAATCCTAGCAGCAGCAGCATCAGCATGACTTCTCCTTTCTTCCATGAATTTAAGAAACAAGCTTCTTTCTTTCTCAGGGAGAAGATCAAAACGGCTCGGTTAGCTTTAACTGATGTTACTCCTGCTCAGCTGTAAGTTTGTTTTTCTTTTGCCTTCTTGTCTTCCGTACGTATCTAAGATGAAGATAGTGTACTCGAGTTTAAGGGCAATCAAAACTTGAATCCCAAGATTTAGTTTTGATCTGGTTGTGTTTTCTGTTGGTTCCTTTCCCTTTTAATCTGCAGATTGACTGAAGAAGCTACAAACGGGAATACACGGGCACCAGACACTCGGACCCTGGGTTCCATTTCGAAGGCTGCTTTTGAATTAGATGATTACTGGAGAATTGTAGAAATTTTACACAAGAAGTTTGTATCTATGAACTCTCTCTTGTTCTTTTTTGTCTGTGTTTTCCTTTATTAGATTTTACTTATGTGATCTTTGCTGGAACAAATCAGATTGGCGAAATTCGAAAGAAAGAATTGGAGAATCTCTTACAATTCTCTGATAGTTCTCGAACATTTGTTGACTCATGGACCCGAGAGTACAGCAGAGGAGTTTCAGGGTGATAAAGAAGCTATTGTGAAGATGCAAGGCTTTCAATACATAGACGAGAAAGGGTTTGTCTTGAGCTTCATCTGTCATTTGCATTTGTGGATTTTTACTAAAAAGATGTAAAATTTTATGTGCAGATTCAATTGGGGGTTAGCTGTTAGAAAGAAATCAGAGAGAATATCGAAGCTGCTTGAGAAAGGACCTGTTTTGAAAGAAGAGAGAGACCGAGCTCGGAAGCTGACAAGAGGGATCCTAGGCTTTGGGAGTTTCTGCCAGAGGTCTTCTTCAACACAAGGCGTTTTACAGGAATCATCACATGTAACATTTGGAAGAAGTAATTCTGACTTTATTGATTATGAAAATCAGCTCCCAACTACAAATGAAGGCAGTTCGATACATGAAGTTGAAAAATCACAGCATAGCAATGAGAATGCACACTTTGAGGCTGGCAAGAAACAGGAGACTTTCAGGTCTTGGAGCAGTTTCAGTGAAGGGCAGATGTTTGAGAAACCTGAAGTTCAAACAAGTTTCAAAGAAAACATGGCTCCTATCAAGGAAGAATTTCATAACTGGAGTGCAACAGGGGAGTCTAATCCACTTTTGGGCAATGAGAACAGTGAACTGAGGACAGAAATTTTGATGGAAGATGATCACCCTTTCAACAGCACTGAGAATCAAACTACTTCCTCAATGCTCCTTGCTAGAAATGGAATTCTTCAAGGATGTTGAGAGATTCTGCGGATTCTACAAGGTTTTACCTGAATTCCTGCCACTGGTAGATTTGGAGTCAATTAAGCAGCTATGGTTTCTTGCTCCCCTTATGCTCAAGTAAAGGGGATGAAAAAGCATGTTTACTCAACCCAGTGAACAGGTCCATACAGTTATTTATAAGAGATGACATCCTGTAAAACTAAAGTTTAAATTTCAATGCTTAATTGCTTATAACTCTTTCCATACTCTTAGACCCGATTTCCTTTACATAAAAAAAAAAAAAAAAAGAAGTATCTTGTTTTTGAAGCTACAAATCTAAATGGAAATTTGTACCCTTTCAGTAGGAATATAAATTTGAAATTTGTGTTGTTTAATTTAACAAAATGTTTTTACTAATGAAGCAGATAAGTGATGCAAACTTAATTAAAGGAAAATGAATCAGAAATAAAATCTAAAACCTAAAATAGTGTTTGGATAATTAATGTTATAAAACGGTCCGTTATTATTGTTATTTTTATTTTTAAATAAAAGTCTAAACTTTGGCTAATTATATTTTAAAAAACATATTTGGAGACTTTATAAAAATTTTTATCAACTTTTTAATTTTTGCTCATGAAATTAAAAAATTCTATTATGTATCAAATTATTTTTGTTAGTATTTTATAATATGTTTGTATGCTGACATGTTTCATAGTATATTGTGTATTTAGTGTAATTTTTTTTTTTTGTTTCTTGAATAAATGGACATTGGATAAAAATGAAGATCTTATTATTATTATTATTATTTTTAATGTCAAAGACAGAACACACCAATTAAAAATTAATAATAATAATAACAAATACATTGGCATGGCAATGGCATTAAATGAAAATTGTTCATGAACTTCTAATGAAAAATTAAAACGAATGAATTTCAACTCTATCATCATCTCCACCATCTCCTAGTTCATTGCTTCACGATATGAACAAAGACAATCAGAGAAATTGAGAAAACAAAAATTTAAGAGAAACAGCATAGAAAAAAAACTTGCGAGCTGAAATTGTTGTGCCAAAAAACAGGACATTACTTTTACGCCTCTTGCATTCTGAAGAATTAGAAGCACTTCCTGTGCACAATAGATGGGCCAGATTCATCATACTCTGCCTTGGCAATCCACATCTGCGTTCCAATCACAACGAGTAAATGTCTTATAGTATGTGTACGAAGATATATGAATACTGTTCAGTTCAAATGTTCCAATGAAGTGGAAGAAGCTAATTTCCAATGGAGAGAAAATACTAGAAATAACAAAAGATATGTTCTAAATTCCCTCCTAAACGATAAAAATATAAAGCACTTTAACATGAATGGTAAAAGCATGGAGTGAGTAATGTGAATGGAATTCTCGATTTGTCATTAAGAGCAACTACATGCAGTCAGCATCAGAAGTAGATTAATACCTGCTGGAAAGTACTGAGAGATGCTAAGATGGAGCCTCCAATCCAGACACTGTATTTCCTTTCGGGTGGAGCCACCACCTTAATTTTCATGCTGCTTGGGGCCAAGGCAGTGATTTCCTTGCTCATTCTGTCAGCAATTCCTGGGAACATGGTAGTTCCACCACTGAGAACAATGTTTCCATACAAATCCTTCCTGATATCAACATCACACTTCATGATAGAATTGTATGTGGTTTCATGAATGCCAGAAGCTTCCATTCCAATCATGGAAGGCTGGAAAAGGACTTCTGGGCATCGGAAACGCTCAGCACCAATGGTGATCACCTGGCCATCAGGCAACTCGTAGCTCTTCTCAACGGAAGAACTAGTTTTGGAAGTTTCCAGCTCTTGCTCATAGTCAAGTGCAATATATGCCAGTTTCTCTTTCATGTCCCTCACAATTTCACGCTCAGCTGTAGTGGTGAATGAATAACCACGCTCAGTCAAGATTTTCATAAGGGCATCAGTAAGATCACGACCTGCAAGGTCGAGACGGAGGATGGCATGTGGGAGGGCATATCCTTCATAAATGGGGACAGTATGGCTCACACCATCTCCAGAGTCCAGAACAATACCTACATGAAGTATCGCAGAAAACAGTTAGTAGATGAAAAATGAGCAGAGTAAACATAAATTACAAAGATAATGGTCCTAGTTTCTAACCATAAATTATAAGTGTTGGATCAGGAAGACTTTATAATCATTTTGAAAATCACTAAATGAACAAAAATCAACAGAAACAAGACAATGGGATGAAATGGCAATGAACTTGAGGTCACTTCACGTTTTTCCATACTTAATCCACAATTGAAATCCTTCAGGATGTTATGAATGTCTTGAACCAAAAAGCAAATTTGACTTAGAAATTGTCTAACTCAAATTTTATCTGTGAGATTGAGAGTAGTCAATTGCTTACCAGTTGTCCGACCACTGGCATAAAGGGAGAGAACAGCCTGGATAGCAACATACATGGCCGGAGCATTGAAGGTCTCAAACATGATTTGGGTCATTTTCTCACGATTAGCTTTCGGGTTAAGAGGTGCCTCAGTGAGAAGAACTGGGTGTTCTTCTGGAGCCACACGGAGTTCATTGTAGAAGGTATGATGCCAGATCTTTTCCATATCATCCCAGTTGCTAACAATACCATGTTCAATAGGGTATTTGAGAGTCAGAATACCTCGCTTGGACTGAGCCTCATCCCCAACATATGCATCTTTCTGACCCATGCCAACCATCACACCTGTGTGACGTGGACGACCCACAATGCTAGGAAACACCGCCCTTGGAGCATCATCACCAGCAAATCCAGCCTAAAAAGAGCAAAATGCATCATTGGAAAAGACCATATATAAATCTAAAACCAACAGCTTAGAACACCAGATCATTCATATAAACATGAAAGACAAAGAGTACCCTAAACCAATACCTTAACCATTCCAGTTCCATTATCACAGACAAGTGGTTGAATATCCTCACCATCTGCCATCTTGTATCACTAGCTGAAATGAAACATCAGAATTAGATCAACATCACAACAATAAGGGAAGCATCCATCACAAACCATTTGTTCAAAAATTACTATGATTAAATTAGAGATCAGAATCCTTTCATATAATCATACATTCTCATTTTCTTTAATTTTTTGATTGAAAAAAAATTAGAAACACAAAAAAAAAAAAGAGAAAAAGCTAATTCATCGAACATTAATGAAAATGAAACCAAAAATCATCCTACATCCAATCATTAGAAGCTCAAGAATCATAAATTATCCAAAGATTCCAAACAAGAACCATTAAATCAATTAAAGTAAGCACAATTCCTACAAAACTATCACAATGCTAAGCAAAACCAGATCGAAATTCAATAATTTTTGATATTATATAATAATACGGGAATCTGAAATTTTCGTTTCCTGTCTTCTCAGGAACCAAACAAAAGCGAAAGACAACTAACCTGCGCAAAAGCAAAAGGAAAACCAGAGAAAGATGACCCGCCCTTCGGGTTCTATAAGAGAATAGAAAAATGAAAATGGCAAGTGAAAAATGATAAAACTTTTTGAAATTTAAAACGCCAATGGAAAACTTTTTACCGGGTCCTTCGGTTGTAGGCTCCTTTTAAGGTTAACGAGCGCTTCAACAGCGCTCCAAAACCGGTAATACCGGTTTTCCATCCATCTCATATTACCGCTTTACAATATTAGACCCGTTCATGGGTTGACCCCGGGGGTCTAATCCAGGTTAGATTGGGCATAAACATGAGTTTTGGAATTTGAAACCAGCTTGAAACTTTATTTTATTTAATTTTAAAATTATTTAATAATGATAAAAATTTTATTTATAAAATATTTTAATATTAAAAAAATAATTTAAAATTTTTTTACTCGACAAATCAAATTGAATCAAACTTAAAGATAAATCACATTTGAAGAAACTTACTGAAATTTTGTTAGCATTTTTAATCATAATTGAAAAGGGAGATAATTCAAATTTTAAGTTTTTTTTTATGTATCATGCGAAAGATTCAATAGTTTATATGTTCGTATTAAATAAGATTTTGATTATTCGTATTTTTTTATAATTTATATGAAAATTATATATAATATTTTAAATCGATATAAAAAATATGAAATATATTTTTTATTAAAATTTTAAATTAGATCTCTTTTGTATCTCCTTTGATATCTTGCTTTAAATTGTCTAAGTTTAGTTAGTTGAATGTGAAGCAATTGGTTTGTAAATTTGAGCTGAAAACTTTATATATGAATTGAGCACACTAACTAAGTCTTATTAAGGTAACAAAAACAAAGCCCAACCCACCAAGACTGTAAATTGGGTTTGAAGTTTAAGTGCATCTTGGGCCATCCTCTTGAACACTAACTCCCACTCCCTGAGCCGTTTACGGTGATGAGTCCGGGTTTTCTTCCACACGACTAGGCGAGGAACTAAAAATCACTGAGCCCAGTTTCATTACCCCCAAAAAATACGGGAATACTGGGAAAAACGTAGAGCAAAATTTGATGTTGTAACTATCCGTTTGCTGGTTTAGGAGCAAGCGTCGAACTAATCCACCTACATTAGTAAATTATTCGAATTCAATTAAAATAAAATTTAAATTTAATTTAATCATTATTAAATTGAATTTGAGTAATTTGATTTATCAAATGAATCAATATTTAAGTTTTTTAATGTTCGATTTAAGTAATTTATAAATTTAATCAATTTTTTATATTTTTAGTTATTTTAATTAAAAAATTATTATTTTACTTATATATATGAATTTAAATTCGAATAAAAATAATTAAATTTGAAGTTGAGTATGAAAATTAAATTTATTTTTTTATTTAATAAATTAGTTAATGGAATAAGTTTGAATAATTCGATTTTTATTTCGAATAAAACTTGAGTTTGAAATTTAAAATTTGATCGAGATCAAATCAAATTTCGAATTAAATTCGAATTTAAATTTTTCATTTTATCAATTCAACTTAATTCAATTTCATCTCTATTTAAGAGCAAAACACTCCCGTGCACTCATAAAAAAAAACCATCTTCAATGTTTGTTAACAGAAATGTAATTTGACGGTGGAGAACTGGATAAGCCTTTTATGCTTTTTAATGATTTGGTGATATTATATCATGAAACAAAACCCTACAAACGTCAGTCCGATGTCGGAAAAAAAAAATTAATGGCGGGAAAAAAAGAAAAAAAAAAGCAAATTAAGAAAACAAGAAGCAAAGGGGGTGGGGAGATGATTGTTAGAAATAGGGACGTAATGGTCGAAGATGGGAAGCAAAATCATTAAGCATGAGCATGAGATGCAATTATGTGCCATGAGAGTGTGTGTTTTCACTTTTATCTATATAGATAACATGCCCCACATTATTATCCTTTCATTTTTTTATATATATTTGAGATTAATTGAATTTGAAATATGATTATTTAAATTAAGAATTTAATATTTTATGATGCTATTAAATTACTATTAAATTACCATTCCATTTTAATTTAATATTTTTTTAGTCAAACTATATTTTTATTTAGATATGATGATTTAAAACATAATATGATAATATAATACGAATACAATATGAAAAAAAATGAAGGTAACACATTTTAAAATTTTAATAATAATCATATATGGATTTAATAAAATAAAAAAATTTGTATTTTCATGTCATTATAAATTATGACATGTAATTTTGTGTAAAACACAAAATGAATACAAAAATTTTAATATTTTACATAATATAAATACATAAATTTTAATATTTTACATAACACAAATACATAAAATCACTTTATTTTGTCGTGATGCGGTGAAACCCAAGCAACACAATTGGGTTCCCAACTTCTATTGTCAATTTTTATCGTAATATTATCATTTCAAGATTTATACTACTGTACATTTTTCATCTGATCATATTAAATGTCATATGAAGATATATCTTTTACTTACTTTACATTTGTTTATACAACATGAACCATCAACACAAATTATATATATTGTTACAAAAGCAACATACGTATGGTATAACAATTTTGTCAAACACCTTTATGTTGTAATTGGGATCCCATTTTTGCCATTAATCACATAATTATGACTTCATTTGATTAATAAGGCCATTAAGAAAGCAAAGTAAAATCATTAATTGCAATGATATTGCTAGAGAAATATTTGATAATCATTAGGAACCCATTGATCCTGGCAGCTTCCTTGGAAGAGATACAAAAGCAGCAACAAATCTCAAGAAGTGGAGTTCAAACATGGCCTACACGGTTAAACCAGACACCTAATGTCTCCTTGCGGCCAATGCAAGCGACCCCATGAAAACATTTTCCGCATAAAAGCCACACAAAACTTACACCAAGACATGTTGTTTTTTTTTTTTGGTGCTTTATTTTTTATTTTTGCTTTTCATCCTATTGAAAAAGCATAAAGGAAATAGAAAAAATAATGGAAAAAGCTCGCGAGAAAATGATCCTGCTAGAGCTAAAGACCATGAATGAATGTAGTAATAGTTATATCAAGTGGCTTGTCCTCCTCTCCCTGTAGTAAATCACGTGCATTGATGCATCAAAGTTCGTAGAGATCAGGAAAAGCCGATTGATTAAACGAGATTTATATAGTTAGTTAATGGCTGACGCTTTTTATAAGTGTGAAAGAGACTTCACCCTCACAAGAAAAAAGAGAGATAAAAAGAGATAGGCCGAGAGTGAGTGAAAGAGAAAGATTTGTGTGGGTGTGTTTATAATATATGCTGCATTGGATCCTTCGCCGAAGTGAGTTGTCCAAGCCTCTCTCCCTTTTCTTCTCTCTTTTTCTCATTAGAAACATCTTGAGAGCTAAATTCCAAAGAAAAGCTGAGAGAAAAATCAGTGAACAATCAAGATTTTGGCATTTTCGTTCCCTATATCAATATCAGGCTTCTTTCTTCTTTTCTAGGCAGTTTAGGCTAGTCCTTCTTGTCTTCTTCGTTGTTTGCTTGTATTAGCTGATCGTCTGATCTGATCTTTGTTCTTGTCTTTCACCACTTCTTGATCCTAGGTTAATTTCTCTGTCTTGTTTTCTTCATGTACTCAAAATTAAAACCATTTTCATTCATGGGTGTGTCCAATTCTGAGATGTTTCTGTCTGAGAAAGGCCTAAGCAGTACCATGGAATTCAGTTTCTTGGTTAGATCTTCTTTAGAATTCCAAGAAGATCAGTGTCAAATTGCACCTTTTCAAGTTATTGATGATGAGCCTCGACAACAAAAAGAAGAGAGAGTACTAAAAGAAGAAGACAAATGCAAATGGCCGATGTCTCCATTGGAGTTAAATTTGCCATCTTCAGGAGAATTCAAGGTTTATGAAAATGGTGAAGATGAAAACCATGATGGGTTCAAGACTCCAACTTTGTTGGATCACAAAATTCCTGTCATGCTTAAGTGCCCACCTGCACCAAGAAAACCAAAATCTCTCCCATCACCCAAACGAAAGGCGTTTAGCAGGAGAATCCTACTTGATTTGACCAAAGAGATTGAGTCTTTATTTCCTCCAGCTCTTCTTGCAGATCTAGGGAACAAGATTAAGAAAGTCAGACGAGAAAGTGACTTCAAATGATATGATATATATCATATATTTTTGTGAAGAAGTAGAATTATGTTTATCTTTTTATTACTCTTCCCTTTTGTGTGGAAATTCCCACTTAAAATGGCATTCTATCTAATTAAGATATAACTGCATTTCTCTCTTCATCAATGCCATATTCAGCTTTTAATGTTTCAGTTTCTATTTATTCCTGTTCCTTTTTCTTTTTCCTGTATTTAGTGTTATGTCACAGAACCCAGATCTAAAGCTATATAACGATTTTGCAAAAGACCAAAGCGGAAGTACAAGTCATCATGGATTTGAGCATTGGATTCTTGCTTTTTGGCTGCACCCCACCAAGCAGCTAAAAGATAAGACTTTGGGTGATCTCTGTCAAAGTTTTTGAATCAAAATGAAAGTGGAGTCCCCTTTTTTTTCCTTTCGATGAGTGCTCAAGAAATGGATTGCATTGACTTTTTGTGTTAAGAAAATGGGTTAGCCATTGACTTTCCCAATGGAAGCAAACATATTCCTTTGTTTTTACCAATTAGTTGAGCAAACCCAAGTGGGATATTCGCTCTGATGACAGAAATCATCAAGGCTGTAAATAGTAGTCCACAGATCAGCGCCAGATGCTATCCCTAAATTCAAGGTACCCCCCCTCCACATCCTCTCCTTTTGCAAAGTACAGGCCACTCTTGCTGTTTCCACCCCCCTTTTAAATTGCATTGCCCTTCTTTTTCATTGGTTTTTTTTTTTTTTTTTTTTACAGATTGAGATTTGAGATGGCTGATAAGTCATTAGCATATTGTAATCGGCTGCAACAGCTGGCAAAAGGTTAATGGAAGGTGGTTTGATGTTATAAGGTTTATGTTTGATTTTTGTTGTCAACTATTTTTTGGTGACAATCCATGAATTCAATATGTCTATTTAAATTCTTTTTTTTTTTTTAATTTACGATCTATTCTGAAATGGGGAAGCCTCATCTTAAATTTTTTCTGACAAATAAAAAAGTTAGCAAAAGGAAATTATCCAACCGGTTCAGTGCTACAGATTTTTGTGTCTTTCATTGAAGGCTGGCTGTGCATATTATTTGAGGGATTGGTGGATTGCTAGATATATATACATTAGATAATGAATACAAAGTGAAAAAGGATATAACCAGCCATAAGCTACATCCAGGGTCGAAGAATTGTTATCTTCCTCGAAACAACCTGATAATACGTAAAATGGAGAGTATATGTACTAGGGTGCTAGCTTTGTTAACATGTGCAGCATGCATTCCAGACAGATAGTGGGTTAGAATTTCTGTCCCCTTACTATAAATGAATTGCTTTAATGAGAAAGAACTATGTGGCTGGGCCCTGGAATTTTGTCTAATTAGCACAAAAATTAGCCCACATCATATCCTCCCTCAGCTAATAAAAGCTAGAGCAGTCAATTCTTCATATGCTAGCCCATAAGCTGAACCAGTTGATTCTCCAAATGTTCAACCAAGTTGTGGGTTTGCCCAATGATAAAAGCCAGAATGGGCCGAATGGGTTGGACATCTCTCAACATGTGTCTTTACTCATTCACTATTACTTTTTTTAATCTACCCTTAAACCCTCCATCAAATTACAAAGACATTATGCATCTAAACTCTCTTAAACCCACAATTTTTAGATGCCAACTTAATGATCTAAGGGATAGTCTGCCATTCACTATAACTTTCTAAATCTTGAAATATGGATCGGCTATTGTTGTTGTTAGTAGGAAGGAGAAATATTCTATCCATTCTGGAAGCAAATCTACCAGAAACTGAATCATCCTACTCAAATCTCTTTCCAGAGTGAAGAAAAAAAACTAAAAAAGAGTCAAACTTTTGCTGTAAATTGAGAGGTGGACCCTGGTATTATCAGTTTGCTAGATTACATTTCTGTTTAAATTAGTCCTCCAGGGTATGGGAATTAAATGCTGAAGATATTGTTTTCCTCTTGGGTCATGACACTGAAGATACAGTGAAAACAGCAGTTCATTGAGTTCCTTGAGGCCTAGATCTTGTGCGCCCTATAAGTTATAAGCTTGGGCTGACACCACTGTTTTATGGACCAAAGGAAAAGATACATACTAGATTGAGATTTAGAAAATGGAGACTTCATTCATTTATTCTCGTTATAGCCATACACCAGGGCAAATGTTGTTCCCTTTCCTTCAGCTTCCTTGGATCCTCCTTGTCTCACCCCATCATGAAATTCTTAGATGACCATTTTAGCCTACTATTTTTGCAACATGGCTTTCTGTTAAATGGCAAATGTTCATATATTAGAATATGTGAAGTCTAAACAATTTTGTATAATTAAAGTATTACCTCAACTTTAATAATTTTTTTTTTACAAATGAAATAGCAAAAGAGATTCAAATCTGTCGAACATTATTTATTAAAAATGACAATACAAACCAACTAAATTAAATTTGAAAATCCCCTATTGAGTTACACTATTTATGTGGAAAGCATGCGTCGCTACAAAATGCAACTATATCTTGATTAAGGATTTATGGTAGACTATACCTTGTGAATTTGTAACTTTTCTCTGTACTTTGGTCACAAAGTTTTCTAGTTTACAACATTTATCAATGGCAAACATTTCAGTCTTTAAGACCGTATATAGTTAATTGCAAGTTGGGTTATCTTCAGCTTGGTTTACTTGTCCTTTCACTCTCTCTCTCAGGTCATGTCAGCAACTTTGTTCTTCAAAGTACTGTGCATGTGAACATTTATAACTAGTTTACTTGCTCGAGTTCTCAAAAATCTATAGTACTTGAGGTGACTATCGTTTTTACCATGATCAATCAACACAAACATCCAACATCAAAAGTACTTTGGCAGAATCGCTCAACAGGTAATGCTCGTCTTATTTCTCGTTCTTTTGGATATTCTCTCGTGGGTTGTCTCTCTTTTTTTTTTCCTTCTCTTATAGTTGTGGGTCCCTGTTTTCTCTTCTTATAATTTCTCTGATGATGTGTCACATTGTTTTTGTTTCTCATGACAGTACAGTTATGATATCTTCTTTTTTCTTTCTTGTTATGTTATTATAATTTTTGTCTGTAATGTTGATTGTTTGGAGGATACTGAATCGCATTTCTGATTTGATTTGATTGCAGGAAGAAGCTTAGCCTAGCCCCTGGGATTGCAGCTTCTGAATGTGAGAGTTGGGCTGGCTAGAAACCATGATCACTCAGGATCAATATCATTCAACACTAAACTCACTGCTTCTCCAGCTTCCTCTACAGACTCTTCTTTAGTGACTCAGTGAAGACTACAGATATTTTGGTTAAAATTTTTTGCTTAGATTGGTACATTTTCATTGGTCTTGTCTTGGCAGTTATCATGACTCATGATTGTATTATACCTCTGTAGCCCTTTGTTTTTCTTTTTCGGTTGTTTTCTTTCATGCACAAATATGTGTGGTAGTTTTGAAGTTTTACTGGAGAATTGTTTTTATTGATTTTTTTTCCCTTTCTTTTTAGTGTAGTGAATGGTTTAATGAACTGTCAATTTAAACCCATTTTGCAAGAACATTGAATAATGCTAGCTATGAAATCATGTCTTTTTTGGGGAGGCAATGAGTATTAATGCAGAATTTTTTACCAAATTTGCCAGATAGTAAGTAAAAGGCAAAGGCTCTTTTACAGCTCTGCTTTTGGGTTGTCATGTTGAGCCTGATTCGATTCCTATTTGGTGCTGTGCACTTAATAATTGCAACAACTGTTGCAGGGCCTGGAGATTTCACATAGTAGTGTCAGTGCTGGATGCTCCTATATAGATCAGATGTCAGATGAAGGACATGTATGATTAAAATGTGATGGATTTTTGCAAATAAAATGAAAAAAAAAAAAAAAAAGCTAGAGATTTCAACTTCCAGAATGATATTTAGCTCTTTGTTTATTTCATGATATTATCGTAATTTTATGAAAAAAGGTTGCCCTAAGATTTTTGAGTTAATTCATGTCTTATTGTCCGGATTTCATGTCATATATAATCTATGTCTACAAATTAAATGGTACAAGTAGTTGTATAAACTTGTGATCATAAGTTTTTATCTAATATAATTGTGCATAAAGCATGTTTGCTTCTTGTGGTCTTCCTCCAAGCTAATTCTCAGCTCTCTCTTTTTTTTTTTTTTTTTTATCATGTACAAACCTTCTTAGAAAACGTGTGGGTGAAATTTTTATAATCCTAATACAATTTTAATTAGAAATATAAATAATATATTAATATTCATAAATTAATTAAATTTGATTAAAAAAAATTCAAATTCAAATTTATTATTAATGAGTTGAGTTTGTACAGTTTCACTTATTGAATAAATCAAGTTTGAGCACCTTAATGTTTGATTGAAATAGTTCATCAATTTAATTGAATTTTTATATTTTAATATATATTTTAATTATTTTAATTAAAAAATTACTGTATATTTATATATATTTGAATTTAAATTTGAGTTTAAATATAAATAATCAAACTCACAATCAAATATAAAAATCAAATTTCTTTTTATTCAATAAATAAACTTAATCAAACAAATTCAAATAACTAAATTTTTATTTCAAGTTGAATTTGAATTAAAAAATTAAAATTTGATTGAACTCAAATTAAATTTTAAATCAAATTCAAATTTAAAATTTTCATTTCATTAACTTGATTAACTCGAGTACACCCTTAAACTCAACTATAGAATCAAACCAACTAACCAACCCCTCGTTTACGTATGAAAATTTAATACTACTACAGCAACTAATTCAAAAGAGATTAATAATTTGCTTTTTTTTAAATGATATTTTAACGTGTGATTTCATGTTTTCAGCTTCCATAAACACAATTTGTCCAATTAATAACGGCGGCTTCTCTTGTGGAAGTATGACAATTTTCCAAAATTCAGGTTAATTTCCAACTCATCTTTTATTTTATTTTATTATTAGGGTTTAGATTAGTGGAAAGTTTGAAGATTCTTAAACTTTTAATTTAATATCGAAAAGATCCCATGAAAATGACCATTTCTCCTACATATTTTCTCCCGTGCGTGATATTTTATATTAAACAATCAATCTAAAATCAAACCTGCTTTGATGGAAAATTTGTGGTTCATCTTTGACTGCTACATGTGTTTTTCATGTTTGATATTTTCACTAATTGCTTTATTAAAGATAAGGATTAATAAAGTTGAGATGATTACTAAGTGTTTCATGATTCAACGAGGAATTATTTGAGCTACTCTGACATTTTCACTGTTTCCTAACAGGAAATTACGTATAAACAACGAAAAAAAATTATATATTTTGAGAATCAAGACTTGAATTATGAGTTTTTTTTTTTTTTGTAAAATAATAAATATTAATATTTTAAAATATTTTTAAAATTAAAATCAAATTTAGCTTGTAAACGTTGGGATCTTAGTTTTAAAAAAAAAAAAAAAAAGTCTGACTTAAAAATAAATGGTTGAGTGGGGATGGTTGATTGTGGCCATGCACCATGCCATCCCCATGCATCATCATTCATCGTTCACCATTCACAACAAACAAGGTACATGGTACATATCCTATATTTATATACATTTACATTAGAGATCAAAATAATTGTTATCATTTATATATATGTGTATATATAAAAATGATATGTTCATACATTATTTATTCTTATTTTCATATTAGCTCGTACATTATACATAAATAGGAAAAAAAAATCAAAAGAGGATTTGTTCTTTGACTCTTTCTTGGGAGGGTGCTTTAACAAATTCTAGGAAGCAGCCATTGAAGAATGTTGAAATTTACATTTTAGAAGAAAAAAATTTATTTTCTCTTCATTTTTTTTCCCAATACTAATTGGAAATGCTACTTCAGTCTCGAATAAACAAGGATGACAACAATATGACCCCACGCAGCTATTATCAAACTTACCTGCAACTCACTTCTTTGCTTATTTTCCCCAAAATATACATACCAAATGGGTCCAGCCCTGACACCATGATTGCTTGATTTTTCACTGCCCTTTTGTTTTGTTTTGTTTTGTTTTTCCATTGCGTTAAAGGGAATGTCCTTGATTGACAAGTTAAAAATTTTAACAAACAAGAGCTGCCAGGTGCCAGGTTTCAAGGCTTATCAATCCATTCATTTTCTGCAGCAATCCTGTCCGAGCCACGGCTACTCATCTTGCTAAATGAACCAACTGCGGATAAGCTCTTGAAGCTGCTACTTCCCTCACTGAAAGTCCTTGACTTCCTCAATTTTCTCAGCTTTGAGGAACTAACATCGCCAATGTCATGATCAGCATCATCATAAGTTTTTATCTTGGCTACCACCAATCGACCAATGGTGCTCCGGCAAAAGGGGCATACTGGGGGTGTTAGACTCGCATTTGTGGGGTTTGGCTTGTTGTGGCAGCACAGGGACAGCGTGCATTGTGCACACATCTGGTGGCCACAGTCTTGAACCTCCATTGTGCAGATCTGCTCAAAGCATATACAGCATACTTCGGTATCGCTAGCCTACATAAAATAATTCCCCAGTTTCCATTATTGCCAACTGTTATAAATGGTTCATGTACTAAAAGAAACTATGGTCTTTTACAATTTATTCACATAACAGAAACCTAGCAGCCAACTGCTAAATAGTAATGTCAATGCAAAAATGGATTATGGTGAGCAAAACATAGGTTTTAGAGCATGCTAAAGTAAAAAAGTTTATGCTTTAAATTGCTAGAGCATGAAACTCAGTTTGATCATGGGCCAGAACTACTATCGATGCTGGAGGACCACAATTGAAACCTAGGTCAAGGGTAAGCAAAGACAAAAATGGTTTAAGTTTGTACACTGAGATTTTAACAAACATTCAATAAAGACTCATGGTCCAAGTCTTTAAGTAAAGATTAAAGAAAAATGAACTCTGAGTTTGAATACTGTTGGTCAAATTAGATAATTCAGAGTTAAAGAAGCTTAGCTTTGAACAAAAACAAAATTAGCTAAGCAGAAAGTAGAAATCTAATACAAGGCTTTGGGTCTGAAATATCAAATATTCAAGTAGTGCTGCAAGAATTTTCAAAATGATTGGATTTTAGTGAACGGCATTTGGTTCATGCTAAAAAGGAAGGCGTTGGATATTTTACCTCAGATATACTGTCATCTAACCCAGAATCAGAATCTGAGGGTGATGGAAGTGAGTAAGCTGTTCCCTTCAGGATGTTCTTTTCCCTTTCCCTGTTTGCCTCCATTAAGGCCTGTTCTAATAGTGATTTTGCCTCCTCATTAAGCTCACTAATGAACTTTAAAGGTGCTGGCCATACAAGAGGTTCTGCTGATGAAGGATTTAGCAGAGCTGCACACGCTCGATGTTTGAACTTTAGAGCAACTACATATGGTATTCTCCTGTAAAGACATGAAAATAACAAAAGCAAGGCTTAACAAAAATAATTATAAGCCAAAAGAAATATATATATATATATATATATATATACATACATATAATGATAAGCTAAAATTTTATAGCCGAAATAATTAGACATGTATCATCTCACACATTGTAAGAAAAAATGCATGAAAAAATCAACAAGGCCAGGGAATAGCATTCCATCAGTTTACATGAGACCATGTAGGACAAATAGATTGACTAGAATATGGTGAGACTAACTCACAAATCTCTTGAAATGCTTTCATGCTTTCATTCGCAAAGTTAAGAACTAAAGATCTTTGATAAGTTAATAATTTAGACATCTATGTAAATAATAAAATTAAACTATACCCAGATGCATCTCTTTGAAGACGATCTGCACCCCATGCCAACAACTTGCGGATGCAATCAAGAGATCCTCCTCTAGCAGCCAAATGAAGAGGGGTGCTTCCTGGACAACTGAAAAACAACAAATTTTCAATTATTTTGCCAAGCAAACATCTGATCCATCTATAAAAAGACTAATACAAAAAATAAATTATGATCAATAACGTCGCGACAAATAGTACCCATATCCACCGGTTGAAGCACAAACAAGAGCACCATTGTCTAACAGGATATGTACGCATCCAGGCCGCCTTTGTCGGGCTGCTAAGTGCAAGGGAGTAGCTCCCCTAGCATCTCTTATATTCACAAAACGTGCATATCCCCTAATATGAAATCCGAGCCACAAATATAAGATTCACTAAAAACTGAGATTAATCACCCAAAGTAACCAAAACGGATTAGGAAAAGAAGTCAAACAATCTTGACTCTTGAGAGAAGAAATAACCCTCACCATGAAACAGCAACAGGGCTAGATCGCGCAGCAGAGAGGATAGCTTGAAGGCAGTCAGAGTGACCATAATAGGCTGCATAGTGCAAGCAAGTTCTTCCATGAAGTGAATCAAACCTCAAGATCTGAAAAACATTTATCAGATCATTCAAATCAAAATTACATTTCCAATACAAATAAATGGATTAAATTGTAACTTTCAGGAAAAAAATGGCTCACATTTGCTCCAGCTTCCACGAGCTTCTTCACACAGGAGATCTTCCCATGCATTGCAGCCAACATAAGTGGAGTCTAAAAACATTAAAAAGGAAACAAAATTAAAAGAAAACAGATAACCAAAAAGCTTTCAAAATGAAAAATTACCTGCTTGTGACGATTCACTACATCCGGGTTCACAGATTTCTCCAAAAGCATAGCCAAAATCTACCAACCAAATAGAAAACTTCACATCAATAATGAAACCAAATACGGATTTAACACCCCAATACCACCGTATAAGAGGCAAAAAAGAACCAAACTTAATAAAAAAAAATTTTCAAAAGCATCCAAGGGGACAGCCCACCTCGATCTGGTCATTAGCAGCAGCTATATGAAGAGCAGACTGGCGATCATAAAGAGTTTTATGATGTACAAGATTTGGTTCTCTCTTTAACAAAGCTTCCACAGTTTCAAAGTCTCCAACTTGAACTGCATTAAACAATTCACTCTCTTGACTCGACCCAGAACTCAGCGCCTGACCCATCTTTCAAGAGAACAAAGGCTCTACACTTTCTTGTACCTTTTACAACCGGTAGTCGGCGAGGCCCTCCGCTGGTGGCGGTGGTGGTTGGTGGCCTGGCCTCTCTCTGAATTTGGCAAAGAGTTCACATTTAAGTAGTTGGTCTTTCAAAAGCGCGTAAATGAAGGAAAAATAAAAGTCCTTAAATATGCATTGAGTTTGCATTTGCCCGAAGAGAGAACTAGGAGCTGCCCGTGGACTCACTGGAGCGCAGTTTCGGGCAGTTATCAGATATTTGTTTTTCGGGGAAAATTAGATTCCTGCGCAGGGAAGTCCAAAGGAAAGATCTCAGCCGTTGATTACTCCATTCAGTGGGCATTGTCCGTACGATTGAAAAGAGTAAAATGGAGAGGATAAATTAATTAAACCACAACAGTGAAATGTTCAGCCAATGAAATTGCAGCTTAATAGGAGTTATGTTTACTTTACCTAAAATACCCTTCATATAATTTTTATTTGACTTTCATTTTATAGGCTACTGTTCACCCACAAAACGGTCAGTCATCTCCTACTATCTTTTACCAGAGACGACGAAGACTAAACAGACGGCGTCGTTTTATAGACGGAAGACATCTTTCTTTGACTTGCTTTTTCTATTTTTTTTTTTCTCTTATTCTTAGTGATGACAATAGGTCGGATCGAGACAAATTTTTATTTGCTCTAAATTTGATCCGATTTTAAATATATAAAATTCATACTCGACCTAATTTAACAATTTTTTATTTTTTTAATACTCGAATCTGACCTGATTCGAAATTAATAAAATATTATTTTTAATATAAATATAAAATTAAATATATTAAAAAATATAAAATTAAATATAAAATTAAAAAATAATTTAAAAAAATTTTATATATCGGATCGGATAGAGTCGAGTTTACCTAAAACCTGACCCCAACCCGAACCTAAAATTTTTTTATGCCACCCGATCCTATCCGATCCGATATCTGATTTAAAAAAAAATTTCGACCCTTAATAATCGGATCCGATTAAAATCCATCGATTTCGACTATTTTTACCTTCTCTATTTATTCTCTTCAAACTTATTGGCATCTACGCAAAATATTAGTCTATCAATTTAAGAAAAATCTTTTGGACCTTTGGCTTAGGATGTTGGGGTTGCTCTTGAATCTTGATCCTCGTTATATCTTAATAATCATGTCATCAATATGTGTATATATATATATATAATTTTTTATTAAGAAACGTATTATTTATATAAATATTAACGTCATTACTCATGAATATTGAATGTCAAAAAACATTTTAAAATCTTAATTTTGATGATTTTTTTTAACACATTAGACAAATTCATCGGCTCAATTCCAACAAATCTTCCTTTCACAAAGCTAAAAAATTTCCTCAACAAAAATTGGGCAGCGTTTGTTTTATGTTAAATGCAAAACAAAACTTGGAAACATAATTTTGTCCTATATCATTGGACAAAATAATTTTTCAGCTCTTTTTTTTAACCATTATTTTAAATCTTAAACCAAAATTATATCCAATGTTTTGCAAATTCTTCAATGCAATTGTTTCGGTAAAATTGATGTAAAATTTCAAAAAATACACTAACATCTATTAATTTGAGTAATTAAAAAGCTCGCTTTTTTTTAAACAAAATTTTATTTTGAATATTATAAATAAAAAAGATAAATACTAAAAGAATTTATCGTTTTTATGAGATTCGATTAAACTTTAAATTAATTAAAATATAAAATGATTATCAAACACTTAAAAATTTTAGATTAAAAAAAAACGAAAAACACTTATAATTATGTAGATGTAGTGTCGATGGATTGTGTAGCAGTCCTAGTTTTCCAATAACATTTTGTCTGGGCTAAGATGGCTGCATGCATGGAACATGATGAACTATCATCTGCACATGTCCTACGACAAAACGATAAGGAAAATGAGACAATAGGAATGCAAATTACAAGGTAAAGATAAAGCAGGTAATATTTAAGGAAAAAAGTTTTAATTTCACTGTTGCCTTGTAAAAAAATGATGTTGTCTGTTCAGAAATATGAAAGACATTAAAGAAAGTTGTCGACCTTGTCAGTTCATTCACTAAATATTCTTTGACTAGACTTAAACAAGGAAAATACAATATTTAGCAAATGGCTGATAAACTCCATATAACTTGGCTCGATTTTGAGGATAAAATTTATATAAAGTTTTTTATATGAAGTTTGGGAAATTTTTTTTAAAAAATAATTTAATAAATTAAATAAAAATTTTAAATCGATAGATTAATAAAATTTAATATAAAAATTAATAATATATTAAAAATTATTTATAATATTATTTATAATTTAAATTTGATCGATATTTATTAAACGATAAAAATTCTATTAACATTTATTAAAAATATCAATATAAAAATATGTATATATAAATTTTTTTTTTAAAATTTTAGAAACTTAATATATATATAATGAGATCTTTTAATTTATTGGTTTTTATTTTTTATTTTAATTTGTATTTAATCATTTTTAGTAAAAAAACTTTACAAATTTTATCTAAGTTTTTGAAGGGTCCTACTCCTATCAGCATCTAAGAATATTGGTTAAGAAGGCCTTATTTTTGCCAAAAGAGAAGGAATGATGAGGAAGAAAAAAGAGAAGTGTTTTTCCCTTTTGTTTACTTACCAGTTACCATAAATCTAGCTGTATTATTCTAGCCTTTTCTCTTCTTTTCCAGTTTTTTTTCAAAGTAGTTCTGGAGCACAGAAAATTTTATAAATGTCGAAATTTGAATTTCATATTTTGATTATATGAATCGGTTGTGCTTAATACCGAATTTACTTTTTTTAATTTAAATTTAATAAAGATTGTTCCTAATTAAACTTTCCCGGAAAGTGGGGGAATTAAGGTGGGATCGAGGGCAGGGGGAAGTATATGTATTAACTTAAATCAAGCTAGATTTACTAGAATAAAGGGAACAAAATGTTGGTGCTAGCAATTTATTACTAACTAAAGATTAAAAAAAATTAAATTGCATTGCATTGGAAAGGATTTAGGCATTAGAGGGGACCAGAGATGCTAGATGAGGAGGCAAAGGTCCATCATTAGTTAGGAGGGTCCCTGTATTATGGTACTCACTACCCCAAAGTTCACCAAAAACCTTGGCAGAAATTATAAGGCAGATCATGGATCTTCCTCGACCAGCTAGTGAAATGTCAATGGATTGATCATCAATAGTTATTTTTGCATGATTTTGTGTGTGAATAAGACGGCCAATCACTTTCCTCTTGTCCTGGTGATGATTTTGATTCTAAACCCAATTTAAAAGAATGTAATGCTCAAGATAATAGTCATGAAGCCTACTCATTAACAAATAGTATCAATTTCTCTCCTTGATTATAGCTTAAGTGAACAAAAGTAGATAGGAATTAGAATTGATCTAATTTTACTGATTTTACAAGTTTTCCTTACAATATCGGAGAACGTTTAATACATTTATGAAAGCCAAATACAAACTATTCATTTATAATTGAAATTTGAATTCAAAATTTTCAATTATGGAATTGATTTCAATAACATTAAGCTAACAGTTTATGTTAGAAAAAATAAATAAAATAAAAAAAATAATATAAAAAAATTTTAATTTTGAGGAGTGAATAATATTTTTTTAAAGTCAGTTATGCCTTTAAAATATAATAAAATCTCAAATTCTTCAATAAGAAGTAATGAAAATGGTTATATTAAAATATTTATTTATAATGAATGAACAGATATAAATTTTTATTCAGATAATTATAACTTTATATATAATTGTGACTTTTATGAATAATAATATATTTATAATTAAATAATTATGATAATTTTTATATTATAATTATTTTTATTCAAATATAATTATTTAAAATATAAATAAAATTAATACAAAAATTAATTTTATTTATCAATAATTAAACCTTTCTTTTCAATATGAGATGCACCATATTTTAAACAAAAAAGTTAAAATTGGAATAATTTTGCAATAAACTTTGAAGAGAAGAACTCAAAAGATGTCATATAATATCACTGTTTTGGTGGGTTCCATATTTGGAATCCCCATCATGCACTGATGATATATATATATCCTAGTTAGAAGCCTCTAAATGAGGATCCGAAGCTATCTTTTGGGGCCATGCAAGCTCAATTGACTCGACATATCAATTCCAAATGGCCATGGCTATGGCTATGGCTATTCCCAATAATATCAGTCGACAGAACATACGAATATGCTAATGTAGCTTTTCTCCAAAGATCGAATGCTACCCCCGTACTAATGGTTCACAAGGAATATTGCTTACTACTCCTACACATAAACAGATCATTTTCATTCCTTCTCTTTCATGCAGATCCATCATTTATGCTTCAGAAAAATCACCAATGATTCCCTTTGCTACAGTGCCTTCACCAAGTTCAACAGGATTCCTAGCTAGCTTAACCTGCAATATTAAAGAAAATTGGGATTTTGAGAATTTTAAACACCCCTTAAACAAAAATAATAAGAAAATTTCTTTGGTTACAACTTAGATTTCTTGAAATTATTCTTTTTTTTTTCTTTTTTTTTTTTGGGTGTGTACGTACATGGTTTAATGTTTGAAGGAAATGTTAGTTGGGCTTGAAAAGGAGGATAGAGGGATGGTGACATTTTGCCTACCATCAAGGAGGACAAGACATGATACATTTAAATGACTTTTACTTGTACAATTAAAGAAAATTACCTAATACCGGTAGTAATTTATTGGGTATGCTTGTTAGCCAAAGAGACCTCTCACCTTAAACTTTAAGTAAATATTATTTTTCCAAAAGGAACGAGTTAAAGTGTTGATATTTAAATTTTAAATTTATATGATTTTATGATATATGCACGAATCAAATGAAGAGTAAAAATTAATTTGATTAAATCAAATATATTTGTGGTGGAACACGTGTAACAAATGAAAAAAAGAATTAAAAAAAAAAAAAAAAAACAGAGAAGGGAAACATGTCAAATTGCCAATGCAAGCTACCCAATTAATTTGTTCTTGGTCAATTTGCTAACATGGTTGGTTAATTTTGGAGTTATCTCTGAATTTATAACTGGTGATATAAGTTGGTTTCCAAGCCTATAGTAAATTATTTTTTGATTTAGAAGCTAAT